CTTCCATTGAAGGGAGATACATTCTTCAAAAACAACATATGCAACTGAATAAGTTTTACTTCTCCAAATATCAGTCTTTATTTTGATTTTATTTGTTTCACAGGGGAATCAAAGTTATGGAATTATGGATATCTGAAGGAAAGGAAAGGGAAAAATTAGTTGGCAATGGTGGAAACTTTTCTCACGTGTAAAAGAAAGCACCGTTAGATTTTTGACGATTGTTTGCAAGAGTATCAAAAATGTACCAATTGTTGAAACATGGAGGACTATTAGTGCTCCATGTTAAAACACAAGGATTACTTTGATCCTTTACTCAAACATAAAGGACAATTTTGATCCTTTACTCACATGTGACATGATTCCTAATTATGAAATTCAAAATTTTCATATAGTAAATTAGAAAATAAAGGACAATCAATCAATTATCCCTTTGCTTGGAAGCCAAAAGAAGAAAAGAAATTAAAGGACAACAATAAAATTTATGGAGAAAGATGAAAAAGAAAATGAAAAATTGGGCATATTGATAAAATAAAAAAAAAGTGGGAGAGTCCAAAAATGAATTTGCAATGTGTGAAATAAAATTTAATTAGACTCATGAGATATCGAACATTAGTAAAATAAAAAAAAAAGTATAAAGAAAAAGTCAACATATATGCATTCAAGAAAACAACTTAATTTTTAATAGTTTGATTGTGGTTAGATTAGAAGATAATATAATGTTTGATTAATCATATAACGAAAAATAATCACCGTATAGTCAAAGTAATATTTGATTGATAATATTAAATACTAATATATATATTAAGTCGTGTTTATATATTATTTTGTATAAAATAAAAATATATGTATTAATTTCTTCACTTTTGTAATTGCAATCTTTCCACGTATTTTCTTAAAAAATATTTTACTAAGAAAACTTTTTAATTCCTGAAAAAGCGTGAAAAACACGTTTAAACTATCTCAATATTTTGAATTTTATAATTAAATTATTATGTGTGTGTGAGCTTCATAATTAAGTTATTATAAATGACTTATCAAAAATACACTTTAGTTATTAATTATTCACTTTTTTTTGCCCTAATATCACCATCATTCAAATATGAAAAACGAACAAGTAATAATTAAAATATATTTCGTTACAAAAATTATATTTTTAAATGTGTTTTTTACGATTATTTCTATTCGGAAACAAACGGCTTAGATTAAGTCTACGTGGTCTGGGGATTTTGATTCTATAATCGATTCATCCTGATTCCTAGGACCCTTCTTTTCTTCTTTTCCCTAAATCTTTATACTCATTCAGTTAATATTATACTTTTAATTCACTGCAAATCTGCACTGTGTAAAACGTGTTCTTCTTCTTGAATTCATTGTTGCAGAGACCCTTTAAGCCCAAAGCCTTTTTTTTTGTAAAGGTATGAGCTTTTTCTTATTGTGTTTTGAGTTCTTGATTTGACTTGATGTGGGGTTTATTTTCATACTGTTTAGTTCTCTGTAGTTGATGATTTGGTAATTTGTTTGGTGGTTTAATATTGGGGTATTCTGTTGATTTTGAGTGTCAAGATTCAAACTTTGTGCTTTTTTGTTCTGTTCTCAGCTGTTTTAGTGTATTGTTTCTGTTTAGTTGAGCTAGTATATGTATTTTTTTGATAACTGTCGTGTCCGGTGCGCACCCCGACTAATTCAATGGAATACCTGTCAACGCCCACCAACAATAGGTATGAGGTGACTTTGTCCATCGAGGCTAGGATAGATGAAAAGAAATTACCTAGTGTTTTTTGTCTTTGCTGGGATTTGAATGTAAGACCTCATGGTTGTCATCCACTTCATTGACTACTAGGATACGTCCTTGGGTGCTTTGTTGAGCTGGTATCTATTAGAGTTTGTTGCGAATGTCCCTTAGGTAGCGTGAGATAGAAAAGAAAATTTTGCTTACTGGTTTGTGGATTTTGACATGGTTATTGTTTTCTTGTGGAAGAGTGTTGAGTTTGTAAAGGTTTCTTTTTTTAAAAAAAAAGAAGAGAAATGTTGGAAGTGAGTTTCCATGCTATATTTTTTGATATTTGGTTACATGAGAACTGAGTGGGAGTAGCGTGACTATCTTACTGTGCCATGGGAAGTACCATAATTTTCTATTCTGAATATTGGGTAACTAGGGCGGTATTTGAGTGTCAAGATTCAAACTTTGTGCATTTTGTTCTCTCCTTGGCTATTTTAGTGTATTGTTCTCTTTAATTGAGCTGGTATTTATGAAGGTTCGTTGTGAATGTCCTCTAGGTAGCATGAGATAGAAAATTAAAATTTTGCTTACTGGTTTGTAAATTTTGATATGGTTATTGATTTCTTGTGCAATAGTGTTGAGTTTGTAAAGGTGTCCTTTTTTTTGTCTTCATTATGTTGGAATTGAGTTTCCATGCTATTTTTTATATTTAGTGCGACTAGTGACTCCCTCTGTTTTAATTGGTTTGTATTACTTTCCTTTTTACTCAGTTTCAAATGAATGTCTCTTTCCTTTTTTTGACAACTCTTTATTTTTAACTTTGCACATGACATGTTTAAGACCATAAGCTTAAAAGACATTTTGGTACTTTCTACATATCTTTAGTTTAAGACCACAAAATTTAAGAATTTTCTTTACTTTCTTAAACCCCAAGACAAATAAATTGAAACGGAGGGAGTACTATTTCGGATTTCAATGCACTAAGATGAATATAATTTTCTATTCTAAATAGAAAGAAAGTCGAATACTTCTAATACTAGACATAAGGGAGCGTGGCCTAAAATGTGACCTGAATATGCTGGCCCTTTAAAAAATTTCAAGCTCTAGAGGATAGCACAAAACTAGTTTTGGAAGAGGCGATAAACATTTATTCAATATCTGACAATCCATAGCAGCAATTCATATCTTTCTAAGTTGAACTTAGTAAAAATGAGAACTAAAACAAAGAATCCAAAGAATGATTGATGTCGATCTATGATTCCATATTTCATTTACATGCAAACTTGCATTCATTTTACACTTGTGATACCTTCTTATTTTGGAATTTGGGTTGGATCAATATCTCACTTAAGTGCTTGAATGATTTATTCTAAGTACAAGTTATAGCCTCCTATTTGGATATCCTCTATCTCTTCCCTTTTTTTGAGTGTTTAAGTTTAAGATCTTTTTTGATGTTGGAAATGAGTTTCCGTGCTACTTTTGATGTGGGGTTGCATGAAAGGGAGTTGCTTTTCAGAGTGGATTTCATATTATGCTTACAACACACAATCTTATTGTGGAATTGGGGTAGGAACATACATAAATGCTTGGATAAGCTTTTATGATGTTTAACCTGTTAGTGCAAGTGAAAGCTCCCTCTTTAGATATCCTCAACAACAACATACCCCGTGTAATTCACAAAGTGGGGTTTGGGGAGGGTAAAGTGTATGCAGACCTTACTCCTACTTCGGAGATAGAGAGGTTGTTTCCGGTATACCCTCAGCTCAAGGAAAAACAATCCAAACTTCCAAAGCAGTCCCGAGCAAGAAGTAACGGAGGTACACAAAATAACCGATAATAACAAAAATAGTAGATAATCTTTAGATATCCTCCATTTCTTATTTTGCAGCAGCCTATGAAACCATGATATCAGACTCCTCTTGTTAATTCCTAATTCTAAATCTCCATGAATGCAAATGCAAAGGAAGATTGATGTTGAGATAGGGTTTTGCTTGTCACTGCCTTGTCCTACGCTTAGACTTAAGAAAATTATTTTGATGAGGATGGTAGAAGGATGAAAATCATGCAGAAAATGTTTTCTGATCAGGAGTGGACCAAAGACCACATGTTTGTCTCATTTTCTAGTAACTGTTTGGGATTGTGTTTCAGGATCAATGTGTTCATAAATTTTCTTCTGAGGCTCTTATATAGTTGTGCCTTTTGGTGTCAAGATGAAGCTATTAGTGAAAATTACATTTACTTATTTATTTTTTTGATAAGTTACATCTATTTGATTATGTGGTTCTGTTCACAATTTATTTTGCAGGAGCAGTAAGATATGAAAAATAAAAAGGTAATAAGAACCGTAATAAGAAAAGCTACTACTGTTGCTAACACTAACACTTTGCTAAAAGCAACAGTGCTGCAGTTGGAGTAAGAGTACTAGGGGCTTTGATCAATGCTGAAATCTTTATTTCTGAGGTTTGTTCCTAACTCACAGAAAGTGAAAGCAAATGGCAGAAGAAAATGGTCCTTCTGTTTTTACAGATTTTCCAGAATCTACGTCTACTAGGTTTTACTCAGATGTACAGGCAAATAACAACTTTCATGGGTCTGGCCTACCTGGTATTAAGAGGAGAGGCCAAGGTCATGGGAGTCGCTCTTGGATAAAGATTGATGAGCATGGCAATTCAAAGATTTTGGAATTGGATAAGGCTACCGTTATGAGACATTGTTCTTTGCCAGCCAGGGATCTCCGGCTTTTGGACCCTAAGTTTATCTATCCTTCCACAATATTAGGACGAGAGCAAGCTATTGTGGTAAACCTTGAACAGATCAGATGTGTCATCACAGCTGATGAGGTTATACTGATGAATTCTTTGGATGCTTGTGTACTGCAATACGAGTCTGAATTGTGTAAACGCCTTCAGATAAATAAAGATCAGCCGGGTAAATCCATTTCTATTTATGTTTCTGCACTAAAGGTTGGTTTTTTCTCAAAGCAATGAAAACCAGTGAATGCTAGTTTCTGTCGAAGAGTTGAAAGCCAGTAGATGCTCCTGTTCTGTGCAATCTAGCTTATTGCTTATCTCTTTTTTTGTCTTTACGTAGCTTTAAATTATCTTAAATTGTCTTGCACCAATGGATCATAATGTTGACAAGAAATTAACTATTCCGCCCCATGCCAGTTTAACTGTTAACTGTGACTTTTTTAGTCCCGCTAGACCAAGTTCAATATTGAGATAACCATTAATGTATTGAAAGTAAAACTTAAAAGTTTCAGATGCTATCTGGAAAATATGATGCACTTATGATTCTGCATTCCAGGGTTAAAAGGAGAAGTGAAAGACGACTTCTCATAGAAAACCTGTCGCACTCTTGGAAAGGCAAAAGAGACTAACAAATTGCACAGAAGCTATATTTTCCTGAATTGGATT